GCAAACAGTTAAGCCTGGACAAGGTACGTAACAACAAAGGATGTGTTTTTAGTGGTAGGAAGTTTCATTTGCAAGGGCGTAAGGTAGGAAGGCAAAATAATGAGCCTGATTTGGTTTGGAGTCCTGTTTCCAAAGCAGAAATGGGAAGCTCCAAGTTCAGAGAATTGCCTGAGACAACTGCATAACCTCTGAACTGTGAAATGCAACTAATGTTGACAGTGTCAGTCTTGACAATGAACCACCATGGCATCACTCCACCGATTCCACCCCGCATCCTATCCATAGGCTGTGTGTACATAGGCTGTAGTTCTGAGCAAGTACAGAAAAGCTACAGGATTTATTATTGGTGCATAATTAACCCTTGAAAGTATACAAATAAAGCCTGATGGAAACTCAGAAGCTACAGAGTACGTATAATTTGGGTGTGTGTGTATTTTTTGTGTGTGTGCCTGGACGTCACAGTTGACTTCTGGTGAACCCTAGTGGGGCTTGGACATTTCAGAGTGGTGGCCTGCTATTGCCCACCTCTGCATCCGGGCCGTGGTATTCCTTGGAGTTCTCCCATCCAAGTACTTGCCAGGGTCAGCCCTGCTTAACTCCTGAGATCTGATGGGATCAGGCTTGCCTGGGCTATCCAGGTCAGGGCGGTGTGTATAATTTTGATATTCTTAATGTAGAGGAGATTACACACAGTCATGCTCTACTTCCCCATTGTCAGAGCCCCTTTGGATTGCAGTGCCCAGGGGTCTCCACAAACAGCATGCAGGAACTGGGGATGAACAGCCCTTAGAGCAACATGAAGGAAAAAAAATTACGAAGCTGTAAAATTCCCTATTTCTCTTGATCTCACAGGGTATCTTATTGAGATGGACCAAGGGCTTCAGTGCCTTGGGCTGTATAGGGAAGGATGCCGTGCAGTTGCTGCGGGAGGCAGTAAAACGTCAACAGGTATGCGTAGGAGCCAAAGAAGGTGCTTTGCAAAGATTTGGATAGCTTTGGCAGAGGTTAAGGTTTGGTCTAAGCTATGTGGATGTGATCTGAGTCGTCTTCTCCCTTTGCTTCTCACACCGTGGGGTTCCAAATGCAACATTTAGAAGGCAAAGCAGCTCTTCAGGCACCATTTATAACACAGCTGCAGTGGATGGGGAAATGGCGGAGCACTTGTCCTGCCCTCCATGTGGCTCCTCTGCCCCAAATTGTACCTTCCCAAAGGGAAGCTTTTCCCTAGAAAAAGCTGCCATCTAGCTTCAGTTCCCTACGTTATGTGCATAACGTGTAGCTCCACTTTCACAGCATGGTCTAATCAGAATAATGGTTTCTGGTACCACTCAGCTACCTTGTCTGGTAGAGATCATGTGTCTTGTATACAGAGTAAAGAACAGGAAAAGGGAAACTTGGAACTAGAGACTGATTTTAAGTTAAAAGCAGGGTTGCCAGCTGCCTGAAGAAGAAAAATGTCCTCTCCCTTTAATAAAGACTTCATGGGATGTTATTTACCAGGTAAAATTATTTACCTCCATGCCGTGACAAGCTTCAGCTGCCCATTTTCATACACTGAACCTCTATTAGAAGGACAGGACTTTTTCTCTCTCTCCAGGCCTGTTGGCAGTCCTAGTTGAAAGAACGTGTATGTATAACAAGCCTGGAAAGATTATGCTGTATTTGTGTTGTCCTTTAGATTAGATCCTTGGCAGCTTGTTTAATACCAAGCTTTCCCCATTTTCCAGGATTTTTACAGGCTAATATCTGATGAGCCACTACCTATCCCAGTGGGAGGGTGAAAAGCAAAACAACAGCCATTGTGTCCTTTGACCATAGCAGGGTAGCAGGACAGAGTCTGAGAGTTCCGTCCAGGCTGATGGCCCCAGGGATACACAGATGGAGGGGGTTGCTATTTCCCACGAGACAGGGCCTATGGGTCTATGTTGGTTGCTGTGGTGATAGGGAATTGTGTTGCCTGGTAACACATCTTGCTGCTCTCTGTCTCTCCCTTCCTCTCTCTTCCCAGCACTTTGATCTAAATGTGGTTGCCTTAGTGAATGACACTGTGGGAACCATGATGTCATGTGCCTATGTGGATCCCAAGTGCGAGATTGGCCTCATCGTTGGTAAGGTGGAGTGGGGTAGGGGCAGTTTTGGGTGGACATTGAAATTATATATGTGATACCCTCTTTTAAATCCAAGGGAAAATTTTCCTAAATGCAGATACCCTTCTTTCACTCTACTTTTTTTCAGTCTATGGCTCCTTTTTGGAATTTATGGCCAGAGGCTGGGTTCCAGCAGGGCACTGCTTCCCAACATACACCTTTCTCTGCAATGTAACATTGAGAAATCTAAGTGGGCTGAAGGGTCTTCCTCAAATCTTGCCCCCAAGAGGTTACTTGCTCAGAGTAGGAAAGAGTAGGATGGTCCATTTTCAGCACTGACTCAATTCTACCCCCCATTTTATCTCAGGGACAGGTTGCAATGCTTGCTATATGGAGGAAATGCGGAATGTGGGCACTGTGGAGGGCAAGGAGGGAAGAATGTGTATCAACATGGAATGGGGGGCATTTGGGGATGATGGCTGCCTTGAATACATCATGACATCTTATGATAAGAAAATAGATGCAGCATCCATCAACTCTGGCCAACAGAGGTAAATCTGGGTATCTTTTATTGGGGATAGCATCTGTGACCTTGGCTGACTTGCCCAGGGTACCATCTCCAGTGTCTCTTTGTGTGGTACTAATCAACATCTCCTCCAAAGGTATGAAAAGCTCATCAGTGGCATGTACTTGGGTGAAATTGTGCGCCATATTCTGCTGGATCTAGCATCACGCAAGATCTTGTTTCTAGGCCAACAGCTATCTGTGCTTAAGACCAAAGACCTCTTCCCCACCAGATTGTTAACAATCATTGAGAAGTAAGTGTGCTTCTGTTGGGCTTGTAGTAAGAATCTTAACATCACTTGTGGAATCCACATGAATCTGGATTCTGGTGCAGAAATTCGAGATCTAAGTTGTAAGAACTAAGGAATCCCATAGAATGTCAGTGCAAAAAGACTCCGTTGTTCAGGATGTGGTAGCTTTCTACCCTGCTCAGCTATCTGTCGATCCCTTCTTAGGACTAAGGTCTCTTGCCCATATAACTACTTTGCCTCACCTAGCATTGTGTCTGCATCATTAGCCTTTGGTTCCAAATTCTACAAGCATGCAAACTGAGCCACTTTATAGAAAACAGGCACATTTGCATATATGTTGTTGATGGTATAGAATTTCATCATTTATTATGACACAGACTAATCTGAGTGTCTGTGATCTGGAACACTAATTTCCTTAGCAGGTCTGAGGTTTTTTTTGGACACAGAGGGTGATTTTTCCTGTTGGTCTGTGCAAATTTTGTCACTGGGTCACATTCAGTCACACCAACCTATTTTGGGAAAGAATGGCTCTTTGAAGACGAGTGCATCTGAAAGACAGACAGACGTTGTAAAGGGCAGGCCGGAGGTGCCTTGCTTGTGCTGATGGTGAGGAATGAAAAGGTCTATGTCACTAATTTTAATGTCCTGACAGTGGTAGCCAGGGTCTGCAGGAGCTGCATGCTGCTTTGGAAGAGAAGGGGCTCACAATATCTGAAGAAGATGCCCAACTGGTGAAGGAGGTGTGCCACACAGTGTCTACCCGTGCTGCTAAAGTATGTGGAGCTGGACTGGCTGCTGTTGTGGATAAGATCCGAGAGAATCGGCAGCTGGAGAAGCTGGAAGTGTCAGTTGGTGTGGATGGGACTGTGTACAAGCTGCTCCCTAAGTGAGTTGCTTTTGCTGCATTACCTCTGGAGGGCAAGTGAGGGATTTAGCCCAACCCACTGCACTGAGGGAAGTAGAGACCTTGGTTGCTCATTGGGTGACATGTCCAAGACAGGCAGAGAGAGCAGCAATCAACTCATGGTGTATGGGAAGAAATTATGCCAGGGTTGGTTTCCAATTGCTGGAGCAATCATAAGAGCTAGCAATTATAAGGTATAATCTATCAATAGGGTATCCTTTTCTATAAGGACTGGGGCTCCTTACATACAGAGGTTTTGCTCCAGTTCTGCATCTAAACTGGAGCAGGGTTTTTTGGAACATCTACCAAATGTCATCCCCTAATAGTCCACTGTCTGCGTTTTCTCTCACTTTGCTGCTACAACCATTGCAAAACTTGGTTTGCTCAGCAGCATTTTCATGCGCTGAAGGGTCTTCCTCAAATCTTGCCCCCAAGAGGTTACTTGCTCAGAGTAGGAGAGAGTAGGATGGTCCATTTTCAGCACTGACTCAATTCTACCCCCCATTTTATCTCAGGGACAGGTTGCAATGCTTGCTATATGGGATGGGAAGATGCACATTTTTGTAGGTCCCATCCACATTAGCACCATTTCCCTCATCTCTGCCCTACCCCATGGCCACCATTCCTCTCCTTCCTCATGCTACTCAAGAGCTTTTTCAGGATTTTTAAAATTTGATGATTGACATTTTAAAATTCAAAAAACCTAACTGGTGCCATGTGGGGAAAAAAGACTGTTGCAGGGAGCTAGGGCAAGGAAAATTACAATGTAGATGCTCATTGCTGCTGCACATTTGCAGCAGTCATGAAAAGAACACAGAAAATTCTTGTCATGTGGAGGCAGCCCGGGTCTTTCTTGCGGTACCACTCTAGATCTCTACGGTCCAAACTTCATGATGTGTTTGGACACAGGTTTGGTCAGGAATCCCAACTTGCACTCCACCCACAAATCAGAGGCTTGGATAAGGAAATTAGTATGGGGATGGGGGGGGGAGATGGAAGCCCCTTCTTCCTCCATGCCACAGTCCTGATCCAAACTGGGCCCCATGGCACTTTAGAAATAAGTTCCCTGCAGCTGCATCTAGCTGCAGGGGATGTGAATCAAGCTGGGTGTAACTTGTGTAGTTTGGACCTAAGAGGAATTGGACCTAAGATGAATGTTATCTCTGGTTGTGGGTAGAAAAGAAGAATGAGGAGCAAGAATGTATCCATCTGGGAGGCTTCTGTTCCTGTGGAGTGTGCGATGCTGGGCTGAACACGGGCTTTTCCATCTCACAGACATTCTCCTTTTCTCTTCTCAGCTTTGCAAGACAGCTTCAGGAGACAGTGGCACTTTTGGCTCCGAAATGCCAAGTCAAGTTCTTGCTGTCAGAAGATGGCTCAGGAAAGGGGGCTGCACTGATTGCTGCTGTGGCCAGCCACAAGAGCACACAACAATCCACTTAGCCAAGGCTTTCTTGCACGTGTGTGCTTGACAAACACCTCCCAATAAACAGGATCGTGCATTGTTCCCTGTCAAGTCCAAACCCTGACTCAGAATTTCATCCTTTTTTTGAGGTTGTTGCAGAAAAAATGGCAAAAAAGGCAAGTTATGATGGAGGTAGTATTTCAACTCTGTGAGTTCCACTTAATGTCTCGGCGTTATGCTCAAGCTTCATAAATATAATAGAACACACTAAAACAAATTCCTGCTGCCACTTAGATCCCAAAGAGCCAAAAGCTGGTCTCTCCAAGAGGGCTAAAACAGAGGTGCCCTCCATACTCTGGATATTTCTACAGCCCCAGGGCTCTCAGGAAGGCCTCTGACTGGCAGCAGATCTGACAATACTGCTGTTGGCTTGATATGGGCATAGATGCAAGAAGCCCCATATAGCAATATATATATATAATTTATTTACATTCATGCCCGCTAAAACCCTGTGCGGGACGCTTATATGTACATAAGGCCAAGTGTAAATACTTGAATGCACTTGAATACAGAATAAAAAACGATCTTTACACAATACGGCATGGACCTGCCTGGTCCAGCACACGTTCACTGCACGGATTGGACTGCCACGCACACGCACAATTCCCTTTGCATATACACTGGGCAAGGACTAAGGAGGCACAGATCCAGTTGCCCAGTACAGCACTGCCCTTGTCCCTGGGCTGCCCTCTGCCTGCACCTGACCCTCCCTTGTCCCTTTGGGGTTCCCAGCATCTGCAGACCACTAACCCCTCCCCCGGGCTGCCCTCTATGGCTGAGTCTTGGGTACTTCTTGGGCTGGAGCAAAAGTATGTAGAGATGGCTCTGGAAGTGCCCTGCCCCCCCCCCCTCTGTATTGTAGCAGGGGGCGTCCTAGGCAGCGGGAGTGGGAAGGGTACAGACATCTCAGCTCCAGGAGCAAGCTTACCTTTTTCGTCCTGGTCACTCAGAATGGGCCCTAGGCTAGCCATCTCCCCTTGCCCTCCCCCCTCCCCACTAAGGAGGAAGAGGGCTCTGAGCACAAAACCAAGTCCAGATGCTCGCGTATCAGAATCCATTGCCATCCCACTCAGGCAGAAGGGACAGGCCTCCCTCAGCCAGTCCCAAAGCTTTCTTAGTAGCAGCAGCAGGGTAAGCATTCAGTAGCATTTGCCATGGCTGCTGGAGACTGAAGCCAGTGTGCTTGCCTTCTGGCTGTATTTGGCACAAGGAATAGAGGGCATGAGGCCAGGATGTCTCAGACAGGGGTGCACAGGCATGTTCAAAGCAGGAGCACTGCCCCCTTCAAATGGAGATGCCTCCTGTCGTCTCCCAGCTCAGGCCTGTGCTGTCCCCACTGAGTGTCTTAGCACTCGGCCTCTGAAACCATGAAGAGGGAGCTGTCCTGCTTGCCCACCTCGGCCACAGCCGCTGCCAGCTGGTTGAGGTTCCCATTGGGAAAGTGGCGTGCCTCCCATAAGTTCAAGATCATGGCTGTTGGGCTGGGTTTTGAAGCAAAGAAGCTGAGATGGCTGTGGAAAGAGAGATATTGTCAGCAGCAGAAGACAGACTGAGTGCTCACTAAAATCCTTAATAACCAGCCAAAGTGCCCCCTCTCCCTTATCCCTGCCCCATCATGGCATTTGGGTGTGGCACAGGGGAAAGAATGTGGCCACAGTTCTTCATGCAAAAGCTCCTGCTTGACTCCACTCAGCCCAGAATCCCACCTCCTCTCCTATTTCTGCTGAAGCAAAATCCACCCACCCTGTACGGTCTGTGCTAGCTGTGGTTTGTCATTACCACGGCAGTGTTGCCCAGAGGACCCGTTTACCTGTCGAGGTGCAGCTTCTGGGCTAGTGCTCTCCAGTCAGCTCCACGAACTCCTGGTGCGTCCAGGCTACTGATGATCTTCTGGCGGATGAGGAAGGGGATCTTGAAGGCACTGGGGCCCACCAGGGCAGGGGAGCCAGCCTCATGATCTGGGGGCAGCCAGTCTGAGAACCGCGCATCCTGGAAAGAGGACAGCAGTGATTGGAATCTACAGGGCATGTGGAGCCTGGGATGAGAGGGCTGAGTGTGTGGACAGGGTGCCTGCGACCCAGAAGGAAGGTGGTTACTTCTGAGTGCTTTGGATGCTCCTTGAGAACAAGGTGATTTCTTGAAAGATATCTCTCAAGAGGGTATCTCTGCGTACTTCGATATTGTCAGCAGCAGAAGACAGACTGAGTGCTCACTAAAATCCTTAATAACCAGCCAAAGTGCCCCCTCTCCCTTATCCCTGCCCCATCATGGCATTTGGGTGTGGCACAGGGGAAAGAATGTGGCCACAGTTCTTCATGCAAAAGCTCCTGCTTGACTCCACTCAGCCCAGAATCCCACCTCCTCTCCTATTTCTGCTGAAGCAAAATCCACCCACCCTGTACGGTCTGTGCTAGCTGTGGTTTGTCATTACCACGGCAGTGTTGCCCAGAGGACCCGTTTACCTGTCGAGGTGCAGCTTCTGGGCTAGTGCTCTCCAGTCAGCTCCACGAACTCCTGGTGCGTCCAGGCTACTGATGATCTTCTGGCGGATGAGGAAGGGGATCTTGAAGGCACTGGGGCCCACCAGGGCAGGGGAGCCAGCCTCATGATCTGGGGGCAGCCAGTCTGAGAAACGAGCATACTGGAAAGAGGACAGCAGTGATTGGAATCTACAGGGCATGTGGAGCCTGGGATGAGAGGGCTGAGTGTGTGGACAGGGTGCCTGCGACCCAGAAGGAAGGTGGTTACTTCTGAGTGCTTTGGATGCTCCTTGAGAACAAGGTGATTTCTTGAAAGATATCTCTCAAGAGGGTATCTCTGCGTACTTCTTTGACAGGTTTAGGAAAAGAGAGCAGAAGATCACAAAGAAAAATGGACTACAAGCCCATCGCCATGATATGGTCTTTATCATTACAGGAATAGCCCCCCCCCGGATAATACTATATGGGGTGCATAAGGAGCATGACAGAAGTCACTATTCTGTAGGCTACATCGACACGACAATGTTTTTACACTTCCTGAACAGGGTGTGTGTGTGGGGATGGATGGACATGAAAAGCCCTGTGTCATTCATATCTCAACCTCTGCCCTTCCCTGCTCAAAGCATCTCTCTTTCTCTCTTTGGTCAGTTTTTATCTACGAGTTGCTTTCATTGATTCCCCGCCCCCCTTTACAGTCTATGGGTTGAAAACATATTACACTGAAGTTTAAAAAGATGATGCTGGTGCCCAGCTGACAGGCGGAGGGAAGAGGGGCACGGAGACATGGGGAAGAAAAGGGAAGAGAGGTGGGTGGGGAAGAGGGCAGTCTCTGTAGTGTGAGGAGGGGGGGGGGAGCCTTTTGCTTGAAGAGAAGCACCGTGCTTTTTCTGAGCACCCACAGAAGCAGAACATACATTCAGCTTCATCTCCATACAGTTGGGATGGGGGGGGGGAAGCAGATAACATTACCAGGAGGAGGAGGAGGAGCAAGACCTGTGTCCTGAAAGGGAAGCCCTGCATAAGGTCAAGGAAAACCCTCCCAACAGAGCCAAACCCTCAACTTCAGCTCTTGCATCTCATTAGGATCCTCATGGGACAGTGGCCAACCTACTGACTGCAGGCTCACATTATGTATTTGAAACTGTGCCCATTGTCTTACTACTGGGCTTAGAGGGTCCTGTGTGTGAAACTGTCCCCTTTGTCAACAGCCTGCCCAGCCCAGGAGTTCTCTCCCAGTGCAAAGGGCAGCCCAAGCAGTCATCTTGCCAGCCTCCTCGTAACGCTGTCCTTGCCCTCACCTTCGCGATGTTGAAGTCAATATTGAAGCTCTGCCCATCGCCCTCAACCTGCCAGATCCAGATTTTGCATGCCAGCTGGCAAGTGCTGGTGCTGAGCCGCTCCAGTGTGAAGGTGCAGTGCAGATAGGGCTGCAGCCCACTCCAAAGGTGATAGAAGGGGATCTCCTGTGAAGAGAGAGCCACGGGCTCAAGGAAGGCTGGGCTGCTTTCCTGAAGGGTGATGCAGAATGAGGCTTCTGCCAGATGAGCAGGTGCCAGTGGAGTCAGGAAGAAGACCAAACAGAATTGGGCAGATTACCTGCCCCCTCCCCCCCAGTGTACAGACTAGAATTTGGCAAGCGAAGGACCTGGCAGCACACAGATGTTGTGTTTCTGGTCCTGAGACAAAGGGTGCATTGTGGCTCAACAAAGGACACAACGGAGTGGGCACTGACTGGCAAGACCTCTTGCCAGTAAAGAGTCCAAATACTGCCTCATCCTTGCCCCAACAGACAGCCTGCCCAGAAAGAGTGAGCACACTTGCCTGATAGCTGACAAGGAGCTTGCTCTTCCACAGGGAGCTGGGCACATCATGGATGGAGAGGCGCAAATTGTGATAACTGTCCTTGAAGTGCAGGATCCGTGGTGCGCCGATCAGCTGTCCTCCCATCTGCTTCTCTATTTGTACCACTTCCTGGGGTGGCATGGGCAAAGAGGGAAGAGACTGAGCTTCAAGAACCACTGACACCTATTCCCAGTGGCCATCACCTGCTACGAGTCCCAACTGCTGCTAAGCCGTAGTATGGGGTGGGAGCTCTGGGAGTGCAAGGCTCTGGCCTGTGTTGCTGAGGCAAAATTCCTGGATGGCAAATACTGATGTGGCAGAATAAGATTGTCAGGTAATGGTGGGGAAGGCAAGAGGCCTCTGCAAGGTAAGGTTAGGGTTCCTGTAGTTGTGGTTTGATAGTTCTTAGGGTCCAAAGTACACCATCCATTTCACACATCCCACAGTCAGACAGCAGCTGTGGGGAACTTATTTTCCAAGTGCTGCAAAGCCTGATTTGAGATGTCAGCCTTCCCCCCCCTCCACACCATTCTCCTGACCCAAAATAGCCCCAGGGGGCATCAATTGCCTTGTTGGAGGTGGGGTCTGCCCAATGTGACTCCTGTCCAAACATATTGTGCAGTTTGGAGCTAAGAGGGCCAGTACATTGGACACATGGTCACTGTTGCTAAAGTGGCAGATGCACAGATGG